GCTTCCATGGAGATCACAGCCTCCTTAGAATTAGTTTGTTGTTACTGTTGTCGTTTATTGAGATGGATCCTGCTCTGGTGGCCTTGGCTGGATGGGTATTCAGTATGTATCCTAGGCTGGCCTCAAACTCATGGCAATTCTCCTACCTCGGCCTCTCAAATGCTGGGATTACAAGTGGACACCACCACCAGTCCTGGCATTTTATGAGTAATAAATAGGCTGATTGTGCAGCATTCTGCATAATGCAGGATACAATGTGCTCTATAAACACAAACCTCTAGAGACAAGGTTTCTCAAGGAAGCCCAAGCTAGCCTAGATTACTCTAGCCTAGAATATAAGCAAAGCTTGAACACAGGACCTTCCTGCTTCAATAAATATTATTAATAACATTTATTATCAATGAAAATACTTTGAAAGTTAAAGGCCTCTGGACTTGAAACTCCCTGGGCCCCAGGCTGTTTTTCCTTCCACACTCACCATCTGCAGTGAAACCACAGGCAAGAGGTAGATTTCATTCAGAAAGACACTCACTGAGAAGAGGTTCACACTCAATGTTGAACATCCAGACACTATAGAAAATGTAAAGACAAGATCCAAGATAAGGGATTCCTCCTGGTCATAACAGCTGATAAGCTGCTGGGAGAAGCTGTACTTTGTCTGACTACAGCATCCCAGAGTTCACTCTTTATCGAGGGTTGAGGCTTCATGATGGTCTTGAGAAGGAAGAATATATCACACTGTCCTGAAATAATCCAAGGAGCATGAAGATGGCCACATTAGCTTCCTTCCAGTGAGTGTGCCGCTAGAGCTTCCATAGTCAGCCACTCTGCCAGACATTGCAGCAAATGTATTATCTGACTTACTGTTTCAACAAACTGGAAAACAAGTACTTGTGTATGAATTAATAAAAAGGAGCTGAAAAGATTTGAAAGGATAAAGTACTTAAGACAAGCGGACATCTATGTAACAGTGGAAGTAGAGCATCTTAAAGCGACTCTGATGATTTGTATATGCTCAGCCCAGGGAGTGGCACTATTAGAAGTTGTGGCCCTGTTGGAGTAGGTGTGTCACTGTGGGTGTGGGTTATGAGTCTCTCATCCTGGCTGCCTGAAAGTTTGCAGCCTTCAGATGACGATGTAGAACTCTCAGCTCCTCCTGTACCATGCCTGCCCAGATGCTGCCATGTTCCTGCTGTGATGATGATGAACCTCTGAACCTGTAAGCCAACCCCAATTAAATGTTGTCCTTATAAGAGTTGCCTTAGTCATGGAGTCTGTTCACAGAAGTAAAACCCTAAGACAATGTTGTTCCCCCTAAACCAGTAGTTCTCAACTTATGGATTGTGACCCCTTTATGGGAGATGAACGAACTTTTCACAGGGGTCATCTAAGACCACTAGAAAACACAAATATTTATATAATGACTCATAACAGTAACAAAATTACAATTTTATGAAGTAACAACAAAAATAATTTTTAAAATTTTGTTTTGAAGACAGTTTCTCTGTGTAGCCCTGGCTGCCCTAGAACTCACTCTATAGACCAGGCTAGCCTTGAGCTCAGAGATATACCTGCCCCTCCCTCCCCAAAGCTGGGTTTAAAGGTGTGTGCCAACAAAAATAATTTTATGATTGGGGTCACCAAGAAATGAGGGACCGTATTAGAGGCTGCAGCATTAGGAAGGCTGAGAACCACTGTTAAACAGACTGACTGGTGAGACTGAATGCTCTGACCCAAGCCAAAACGATGACTTCCACTTCTGAGAAGCAGTTTTTTTCCACTTTGTTGGTAGTGTGAGCTAAGTCTTCTGATGTTGCCCCTACCAGCCCAGAAATTGACATGCCCCTGTCTGGGTGTCCCTATGTGCTAGGATCACACCCAAGTATGTGACCCAGTGACTTTGTGACTTAGCTGCATTCAGTCATTCCTAACCTTCCAATTCCTGTGCAGATTATATTTGTCCTACCTGGGTCTGCTTGCTGTTCTTATGACTTCTTGCAGACAGATGCACTACCTTCAAGTGGGAAATACAGGCACAGCCTGCGTGCTAGGGGTAGTGCCCAGAAGAAAAAGAACCACTGAGGTGTACAGGCATCTTTATAGTCATGAAAGACTGGTTTGGTCAGGTGGAGGGACAGCTGGAATGGTGTGTGGTTGTCAAATTTAATGAGAATTTCCATGGACTCATGCTATGTGACACCTGCTGAGGACAAATAGAAAGTAGACTTTGAAAAAGTAAAGATCGAATAAACTGGTTCCAGTCTCAAAGTGGGGAGAACATACAGCCTAGCATGAAACTGAGAAAACCCCGCAGTTTGGCACAAAAGGAACAACTAAAACAGAGGACTGGAGGGGGCACCCAGGAGGGAACGGGCTGTGCACCCAGGTGACCTTCCAGGAGAAAGGTCAAGACTCAAGAGTCCATAGTAAGAGTGTGATGGTCAGATCAACAGACACCCATGACTCCCTGGGGTGGAAACAAGAAGAGTGAGGGTGCAGCCTTGGGGTGGTATCACGCCATCATAAGAAAGGGGAAAAGGAAACAGAGAAGTAGACAGTAAACTTTCAAAGTGGTTCTAAAAACAACAGGCAGAATTCAGATCACTCTAAAAGCAGCGCTAATTGTCCTTCTTTAAATTAGGTAATCACTGGTGATTTCACAAAGGGCATGCCGTTGAGAAGCAGTGGCTGAGCCAGACTCGGAATCATCACGTTTTTTTCTGTGTAACTATCAGTATCCCCACCCCACCCCTGCTTCGCTTTTTTCAGTGCTGTATAGTACTCACAATGGACTCTTCTACCCCCTTTAAAGCCATTCTGTTGTTAAACAGGCTCTCAAGACTGTTTTATATGTAAAGCAACTTTGCCAAGCAGGGTGGATATTTGAGATATGTGTCTGTGAGATATATTCCGAGGAGTGGAGACTGGGCCCTGGGACATCCAATCTGCTAATTGGATACTTCCTGAAGGATCAATCTACGCTGACTTCCAGGTGACTTTTGGTGTTTGCCAGTTCTGGGCTTCAGTTTTAGCCGTTCTGGGGTTGGGGTGTTATTTTCATGTCATTTCTTGAGTGAATGACTGTACCAAGTAGGTTATGTTTGCTTGTTAAGAACACATTTGCTTACATTTGCAAATGTACTGTCCTGTGTGTGAGCTTTCATACAGACAACTTCCAGTGTACAGGTACTTGCAAACTTCATAAGCGTTTCTTTCTTTTCTTTTTTTGGGACTAGTTGTCCTCCTGTCTGCATCTCCTGCGTGTCAGGGTTACAGTGCCACTGATGCCGCGCCTTCTGAAATCGTGATGTTTTCATGATAAAGTTATTAATGTAGTTCAGCTTGTCCATCTTTCTTGAGGTGGAGTGAATGTGTACTACTGATCAAGTTTTTTGACCAAACTGATAAAAACATGCTATCTTTCAGAAACTTTTACTTTTTAAAATAACATGGGGGTTGTGTTTCCACAAATCATGGTACAAGTTTAGATCAGTGGATAGCCTCCAGCAGTCAGGTTTCCTCTTCTACCTTGTGAACCCCTGGGATCAAACTGAGCTACCTGCATGGCCTTGGGCAAACACCACTGCTTCATATCTGTGAACAGTCAGATGCTAACTTGGCCTTCTGTTTTCTGATGGTTTTAGCTACTTAGGGCTCTCTGCGACCCTATGTCAGTTGTTCATTTGTAGCTTTATTTCTTTTTATAGTTTGAAAGTTGAGTAACTCCCAAAAGCCCATGTGGTAAAGGGCTGGCCCAGCCACTGTGGTAGTACACGCCCACAGTGTAAGCAGCACAGAGGTAAATATTGAAAGATTTTGACGTCTAGGCCAGCCTGGACTACATAGCAAAAACATGACCAAAACAATAACAACAACAACAACCCTAAATAATCACGGCTTTAGCCTGATAGTTTGGGGAGAAAGAGAAAAAAGGGGTCCTATGTGAGAGACTTTAAGCCACGCCCTCACAGGCAACTACAGCACCCTAGTCCCTTCCCCCATCCTTCCAGACCATGAATAAGCGCCATCATCATAAACTATAAGGCAGCCATGATGCACAGTCTTGGACAAATCCACAGGGCCAAAATCAGACTATAACTACAAGGTGAACCAAAGCAACCCTTTTCTTATTAATCACCTCAGAGAAACTCTCAACGGGACAGAAAGCCAGTCTTTCCCTCCTCCAAATACCACCAAGATTTTGATCAGGAAGGCACTGTAACTAGATATCCATCTGGTAGAATTCACATGTGAACAATATCAGGGGTCTCAAAGCATGAGCAGACATTACATTTATAAGATCTTCAAGTTGGTGGTATGGCTTGGTGGGAAAGCCTGGTCCAAGCCTGCTGACCCACAGCTTCAGTTGCCCTGACAGCCACAGGCACACTGATGCGCGCATGCACTGGACCCCATGAGATGTAACTGTCTTCTCATTAACACTTAGAGCTGTTCTGTGCCTACTTCCTACACAGCTTCCTTAGTAGGATCTGAGTATCCGACCACTCTTTATGTTCACAGGTGACACACGTGCTCAGAGCTATCCTGCACAGTGCTGCTTACACACAGGCATCAACCTTGCCTCCAGAGATGACATAGTTTTAGTGGTTCTTCTGCTGATTCTTTTGTATTTTCTAATCACAAGAACATGAATTGGACTTAGTCCCAAAACCAGTGGCTTACACTTAAGTTACAGATCTCCTTACATACAGCCTTAGGCTGCATCACACAACATTGACATGTTTCCAAAACAAAGGATCTTCACTGGGAGAGCTGAAGGTTCCCCGGAGACCAGGGAAAGAACCCTCTGAAAATGAGAACAGGAGAAGGGAACGCTGGGATACAGGAAATTGAGTGTAAGAGATTCTGTCTTATAAAAAAAGATTTCCTAATTATTTGGGGGTAATTTACTTTTTGATCATCTTGTTTCCACATCTAAGTAATGTTTAGCCAGATACTCAATTGCACTGAGAATAAAAAGATACAAACAGACACAGGGAAAGTATTAAGTGTTTATCTATATTGGGAAAATCTATATGCAAAAAGGGAAAATACACAACCAATATTAGTTTCAAATATCTGTAACTAAACTCAAAACCCCTAAAAAGAGCTGAGACTATTAATTTTGATAAAATATCATTAATTGCACCTTTAATTCAAAATGTATTCATGGGCTGGAGTGTAGTCAGGCAGCACAGTGCTTAAGCTAACACGTATGTGACCCTGTGCTCAGTCCCCACGCCACATGACCTGGTTGTCATAGGCCATGGCCATCTCTGCATCTCAGAACTTAAGGGAGTCAGGCAGGACCACCAGAAGTTCAAGTGCATTCTCAGATATTCAACAATTCTGAGGCAGGCCTGGTGTACACAAATAAACACAATGAAATAAGATGTTATTCATAATCTTAATTAAAATAAATTTAATTGCAAAGCAACTTGTCTTGTAATAAAATTTACATGGTACGTGATATTTTAAATGCATGTAATTAACAGCATAAATACAGTAATTACAGTACCCAAATCAGAGTGTTATATAGATTTAATATATTAAATCACCCAAAACCAAGTTAACTGCCTTGAAACTTACAAAAACACTTCATTTTACCAAATGCAAGGTTCAAACATACTAAGAACAAAAAGTCTATTCATACGTCAAGAGTCAAGGCTAGACAATAAATTAATCCTTTAAAAAGGAATAGGAGCCATTACATTTTCTTGAGTCTGAGAGGCCCAAGACCTTATAGAATATCTAGAGACAGCAGTGATGGAAAGAAATCAAAAAAGTTCACCATGAACACCACAATACACATCAGCACAGCCAACACCACAGTATGGATCTGAATGCAAATACTGCATTTTGTAAAACATTACAGTGCACTCACTACACCAGGTACAGAGGAGGCATCTGTGAACGTTCCTCTCTAGTCCAGGGCTTTAAGCAGAACCTACAACATACAGTAGCATACTAACTGCAGAATGCCCACTAGAAACAGTCTTCTCGGCAGTGACGTCCTGTGAAACGGCACAGCAATGTGAAATATAAAAAGGACAGCAGGGGAACTTACTTCAGAACAGGAGCAACAGCAGAATCCTATCAGGACACATTAGAAGAAGGAACTGCAGCTTTGCGCACTCATTGTAAGGTGCCGACTTGAGGCTGCCTACCGTCTGACAGGTACTGTGCCAGGTGCTATATTACAGTGATTAATGAAACACAAAAGCCCTCTGCACAGGGACAGCCTGCTTCTTACAGCCTTACAGACATAATCAAATATGGCTTTTGAAACAAAGAGAAAACCGCTTACAAAAAGAGAACTTTCTAATTGAGAATTGTGCACTGAACAGTATATTAAGTTGAAGGGGATCATATGGACTGAGGATTATTTCAATGGCTAATTCATTAAGTATACTTCCTATATATTTTCCCCAAGAATATTAATACATGCAAATTTTCTTTCAGTAATCAAATAGTCCATCTAATTTTGAATATATTATCTTTAAAAAAAGTTCCCATTTTAAAATCAGGACCTCAAAGTTAAATTTAAATCAGTGACATCATACATCTTAAACATTCCAGGGACAGCACATATGACAGAGCTAGACACTGTTCTGTGTGACTAACTTTCGTCGTCTCTTTGTAAAGGTATTATCTCAATCTCTTTGGCTATTCTTTCGGCTAATGCTAGATTATTTGCAGCAATTATTCTCCGAGACATCAGATCGAACGGTCCACCTGAAATCAAATCAAATATGGAAAAAGTTATACACGAACAAAAACAATTACAAGAAAAAATAGTACACAGCTATATCCTCTGGCAATGCTAATATTTTAATATGCTCAAATTTTCTTTAAAAAAATGCATCACCCTATATCAGCTCCTCCGCCTCAAGGATGGAAGCTTCTAGGCATCTTTTCTGAGTAAATACCAATGCAATGGATTTCCAATTGAACAAGCACACTCATGCTCACACACTGTCACATGTGTGAGGTCTGAGGACAG